TGTGTGCGGCTGCTAAGCCATGGAAACCCATTTCATGAAGCTCCTGATGAACAGTTCTTGTGCTGACGTTGCTTCCAGAGGCAATTTGGAACTCGGTAGTGAGTGTTGCAACCGAGGACAGGCGATTTTTACGTGCTTCAGCACTCGCCGGTCCCGTTCTGTGAGCTTGTGTGGCCTACCACTTCGCGGCTGAGCCGTTGTTGCTCCTAGACGTTTCCACTTCACAATAACAGCACTTACAGTTGACTGGGGCAGCTCTAGCAGGACAGAAATTTGATGAACTTGTTGGAAAGGTGGCATCCTATGACGGTTCCACGTTGAAAGTCACTGAGCTCTTCAGTAAGGCCGTTCTACTGCCAATGTTTGTCTATGGAGATTGCATGGCTGTTTGCTCGATTTTATACACTTTCAGCAACAGGTGTGGCTGAAATAGCCGAATCCACTAATTTGAATGGGTGTCCACATACTTTTGTATATATAGTGTAGATTGCAGACTTTGGAGAAAGGAGAAGCCAGCCGAGCAGTGTGTGTGTGTGAAAACGAAGGAGCTGATTGTGGACTTCAGGAGACAGCAGAGGGAGCATGCCCCCATCCACATCGACGGGTCTGCAGTGGAGAAGGGGAAAAGCTTCAAGGTCCTCGGCGTACACATCACTGATAATCTGAAATGGTCCACCCACACAGACAGTGTGGTGAAGAGGTGCAACCTCAGGAGGCTGAAGAAATTCAGCTTGGCCCGTAAGACCCTCACAAACTTTTACAGATGCACCTTTGAGAGCATCCTGCTGTATCACCGCCTGGTACGGCAACTGCACCACCCGCGCCCGCAGGGCTCTCCAGGGGGTGGTGCGGTCTGCCCAATACATCACCGGGGGCACACTGCCTGCCCTACAGGACATCTACAGCACCCAATGTCACAGGAAGGCCAAAAAGATCATCAAGGACATCAACCACCCGAGCCAAGCCTGTTCACCACACTATCATCCAGAAGGCGAGGTCAGTACAGGTGCATCGAAGCTGGGATCGAGAGACTGAAAAACAGCTTCTATCTCTAAAAAACAGAAATACCTTATTTACATAAGTATTCACACCCTTTGCTATGAGACTCGAAATTGAGCTCAGTTGATCCTGTTTCCATTGATCATCCTTGAGATGTATCTACAGTGTGATTGGAGTCCAGCTGTGGTAAATTCAATTGATTGGACATGATTTGGAAAGGCACACACCTGTCTATATAAGATCCCACAGTTGACAGAGCATATCAGAGCAAAAACCAAGCCACGAGGTTGAAGGAGTTGTCCGTAGAGCTCCGAGACAGGATTGTGTCGAGGCACAGATCTGGGGAAGGGTACCAAAATAATGTCTGCAGCATTGAAGGTCCCCAAGAACACAGTGACCTCCATCATTCTTAAATAGAAGAAGTTCCTAGAGCTGGCCGCCCGGACCAAACTGAGCAATCGGGGGAGAAGGCCTTTGGTCAGGGAGGTGACCAAGAACCAAATGGTCACTCTGACAGTGCTCCAGAGTTCCTCTGTGGAGATGGGAGAACCTTCCAGAAATACAACCATTTCAGCAGCACTCCACCAATCAGGCCTTTATGGTAGAGTGGCCAGACGGAAGCCACTCCTCAGTAAAAGGCACATGACAGCCCTCTTGGAGTTTGCCAAAAGGCACCTAAAGGACTCAGACCATGAGAAACAATATACTCTGGTCTGATGAAACCAAGATTGAACTCTTTGGCCTGAATGCCAAGCGTCACGTCTAGAGGAAACCTGGCACCATCCCTACGGTGAAGCATGGTGGTGGCAGCGTCATGCTGTGGGGATGTTTTTTCCATGGCAGGGACTGGGAGACTAGTCAGGATCGAGGGAAAGATGAACAGCGCAAAGTACAGAGAGATCCTTGATGAAAACCTGCTCCAGAGTGCTCAGGACCTCAGACTGGGGCGAAGGTTCACCTTCCAACAGGACAACGACCCTAAGCACACAGCCAAGACAACGCAGGAGTGTCCAGGCTCTGTCGCAGCCAGCTGCGACCGGGAGACTCATGGGCGGCGCACAATTGGCCCAGTGTCGTCCAGGGTAGGGGAGGGAATGGCCGGCCGGGATGTAGCTCAGTTGATAGAGCATGGCGTTTGCAACGCCAGGGTTGTGGGTTCGTTTCCCAGGGGGGGCCAGTATAAAAAAAATAAAAAATATATATGTATTCACTAACTGTAAGTCGCTCTGGATAAGAGCGTCTGCTAAATGACTAAAATGTAAATGTAAATGTAAGTCTCTGAATGTCCTTGAGTGTCCCAGCCAGAGCCCGGACTTGAACCCGATCAAACATCTCTGGACAGACCTGAAAATAGCTGTGCAGCAACATTCCCCATCCGACCTGACAGAGCTTGAGAGGATCTGCAGAGAAGAATGGGAGAAACTCCCCAAATACAGGTGTGCCAAACTTGTAGTTACCCAAAAAGTATTGAGGATGTAATCGCTGCCAAAGGTGCTTCAACAAACTACTGAATAAAGGGTCTGAATACTTATGTAAATGTGATATTTACGGGGGGGTTTTAAAAATACATTTGCAATCATTTCTAAAAACCTGTTTTTTCTTTGTCATTATGGGTTAATGTGTGTAGATTGATGAGGAAAGAAAATAATTTAATCAATTTTAGAATAAGGCTGTAACGTAACAAAATGTGGAAAAAGTCAAAGGGTCTGAATACTTTCCGATTGCACTGTAGACATGGAATCACTGGTCACTTGAATAATGTTTATATACTGTTTTACTCATTTCATATGTATATACTGTATTCTAGTCCAGGCCATCCTATTCAACTATTGCTGTATGTATACAGTACTATTCTATCCTACGTATTCTTCAGATATACTAAATATTCTATCCACATACTGTCCATAATGTTTATACATCCCACATATATATTTATACTCCGGACTCCTAATATTTATATATTTCTTTATTCCATTATTTTACTTTTAGACTTGTGTGTATTGTTGTGAATTGTTAGATATTACTACACTGTTGGAACTAGGAACACAAGCATTTTGCTACGCCTGCAATAACATCTGCTAAATATGTGTATGCGACCAATCAGATTTGATTTGATTTTGATTTGAAGGCAGTGAAATGAAATGAGTTAGAGGGCAAAAGAGGGGAGATGGGTGGAGTGGAGGTGGAAGAGTGAGGGAGCTTGTGTGCATTGGTGGTGGGTCTCCTTGGTTAATTCCTTAAGGGAGGTGAGTAATGAGATATTCCATAATTTCTCTCTTCCTCTCCCTCTCCCTTGACTCTCTCCACCTCTCTCCTCTCTGTTTTACCACATTTATCTTTCTGCTGGATTTCTCCTCTTAACCCTCAACCAGGTTGGAATCATATAAATATAATTGCTTTAGTCTGTTTCTATGTTTGGAACATCCTCCCTCTCAACCAATATGGTGTAGCATTTGTTCCTATATAGAAGACAATAGTAATACACAGTTTGTAAGGGAATGTCTTGGGAGTAGGGAAGTAAACATGTTCATGGTGGCAGAGTGGTTTCTGCTGCGGCTCATGTCAGTCTACATTGCATCCATCAGCAGATTTCATATTTGAATAAAATGTCTGGATTCTTCTTGCATCCTCTGCCACCACAGCAGCAAATAATTGTAAATGTGTGTGTGCGCATGTGTGTCCATACACGTGTGTGTGTGTGTGTGTGATGGCTTTAGTTTTGACTTCATTACGTCTTGGCAGTACATTATGTGGCTGGACGGGTTTGTATTTAATCAGATGGACTGCCAGCATTATTAATAACTGGAAGAGAGAGGGGAGGGGGAGGTGCTGACAGAATGCAGTACAATAACTTATTGTACCCCACGCCTCCCCACTGCCCTTAGGGGTGGGGTGGGGGTGGCAGGGTAGTCAGACCCATATAAATACTAATAATAATCATATCATACGATTTCTATGTTCAGTCCATCATATGTGGAGCCAATATCCCCCTGGCTCCTCATTAACATGTTGGGGTAATGTACATACAAAATAACATAGTCATCCCCCAGTTGTGGATGTATTGGTTTGCAGTGTGCTTGTAAGTCAATGTTTTGTGAGCTCAAGATTTATTGACAGTGAAAACCAATATGTACATTCTTTGGAACGTCATAGCAGACAAATATACAGCAGGCTACATGTAAGAGGATATAGGCCTACACTGTCAATGTGAAATTGTGCTACAGAAATATAAAATGTAATCCACCCAATACAAATACAATAGCAAGGGGTTGAAACTAGGGTTGCAAAATTCCGGGAACTTTCAATAAATTCCCTGATTTTCCCAAAATCCTTTTTGGAGGATTCCGGATTTCCTGCTTATTCCCTCCTGACTCCGGGAATCCTCCAATCAGGATTTTGGGAAACCCAGGGAATCTTTTGAAAGTTCCTGGAATTTTGCAACCCTAGACAGCTACAGAACTGATAAACAGAAGCCTTTTTTTGCGATCCTTTAAAAATATATATATATAATTTTTGGGGGTAACACTGACAGGAGACAACAGTTAGGACCAAAAAGTGAATACTTTTCTATTCCATTCTACTATTGCGTTCTTCATTGATATTCCGAGGCTCTGCTAGTGAGATCTGTAAACAGGCAGCAGCACCATGCAGAATGGCACCCTGGACGTGTTGCAGAGAGACAGACACTGTCACAGCATTCCTAACGAAGCAGGCAGGCAGGCTGGACCTGTGCAAGCAGACCCTGCAGAGTACTGCCTCTGTAGTGCACTGAGCTGTACTGTGCTGTTTTCCATGCTTGCTGTATCCACCTCTGTGTCAGTGTGTATGCCTGCCTCTCTGCCTGCACAGCCCCAGCAGCAGTGTGTGTGTGCGTGGGTGCAGCTGTGTGTGTGTCTTTCTGTGCGTGTGTGGAGCACGGCAGCAGGGGCACAGCCAGTCACTCGCCCTGGGTTGGCCTGCCTGTGAATATTAACGTGAGTCAATTCTCTTCTCTCACACAGCAGAGCTGCAAGCCGAGAAAGAGCCAAGCTCCTCCTCCTCCCCTGCCACTCAGGAGCTGATGACAAGGCTGGGCTTCTTACTGGGAGAAGGGATCCCGGGCACGGCTCGCATACCTATGGAAGACAAGAATGAAAATAAGGTATTTCATTTCCCCCCTGCAGCTGCTGCAGCAGCCGTACAACAACAGAGAGAGAGATAGAAGGAGGGAGCAGGGGGGAGTGGAGTTGAGAGAGTGTGAAAAGAGTGGAAAGAAGAAAGGATGCTTTTTTGGTGCAGCTTGTGCGCTCGCCTTTGCCCGGTTCTTTGGACTTGGATTAAAGTCTCAATTCTTCCACGGAAATGATACTAATTGCGGCGAATAAGGGTAACTCTAAACTATAACATCAATGTGTTCTCAGAGATGTTTTGTGTCTGTAAACTAAGTGAATGTTTGGTTAGTTAAACTGCTTGAGTGTGTTAGTGTTGGAGTATGAGCCTGAGGTATCCAGTGTGATGATCTTAAGCAAACTTTGAGTGGCTCTTGCAGGGGCTCTTGAGTATGTAACACGAGTGTACGAGCTTACCTCCAGAAATAGTTATGTCAAGTCTTCGGCTCAGTTTGTTTGGCTCTGCTAATTAGTCAGAAGCTCAGTGGAAGGGAGCAGAGCACCCCTTTGATTTCCCTCTTCATGCATTATGCTTCTTTGACATATTTTGGCCCAGAATTGGTAATTCAAGTAAGAAGCTTATATTTCATGAATCATATTCATTAGTCGAGATTTCAAAGTGAGAAACCCAAGGAACACTGGTTTTGGGATGTTTTTTGTCTATCTAGTATGATGTTCTTCTCAGTGCTTCAGAGAGAAACGCTTGGAGGCATTGATCATCTGTTAAAGGTCCTTGATCAGTCATTCTGATTCCCATGTAAAATAGCCCCTCGAGTGACTATAACATCACCTGCAGTAATTTTTTCAGATAAAAATGCTCAAAAGGGCCTTTTTCTCTTCGGTTAAACTACCAGGAAGTCTGAAAAAACAGAATGAGTGGGTGGGGAGCTCACCTTGACTGACGGTTCTTTGAAAACGCCTATGTCAAGCAACATGGACGCAGTGAGATTATCTCAAGCAAATTTGCTGATACACAAAGCAACTCAAACAACATTGAAATTGCATGCAACATCTAATCCTGTCATACATCATGGTTTCACAAAGATTGTTTTATCCAACTGTTTTGTAACAGCATCAATATAGAAAAAAAGGTTGGCTGTTTAATTTAGCTAGCTAGCCCAAATGGAATTGTCAGCACTGTTTATCAAACTAGCTAGCTTGTTCATCTTGGACAATTTCAGTTGTCATAAAATATATACACTGAGTGTACAAAACATTAAGGACACCTGCTCTTTCCATGACATAGACCGATCAGGTGAAAGCTATGATCCCTTATTGATGTCACTTGTAAAATCCACTTCAATCAGTGTAGATGAAGGGGAAGAGACAGGTTAAAGAATGATTTTTAAGCCTTGAGACATGGATTGTGTATGTGTGCCATTCAGATGGTGAATGGGCAAGACAACATACAGTGAGGGAAACAAGTATTTGATCCCCTGCTGATTTTGTACGTTTGCCCACTGACAAAGACATGATCAGTCTATAATTGTAATGGTAGGTTTATTTGAACAGTGAGAGACAGAATAACAACAAAAACATCCAGGAAAACGCTTGTCAAAAATGTTATAAATTGATTTGCATTTTAATGAGGGAAATAAGTATTTGACCCCTCTGCAAAACATGACTTAGTACTTGGTGGCAAAACCCTTGTTGGCAATCACAGAGGTCAGACGTTTCTTGTAGTTGGCCACCAGGTTTGCACACATCTCAGGAGGGATTTTGTTCCACTCCTCTTTGCAGATCTTCTCCAAGTCATTAAGGGTTTGAGGCTGACTTTTGGCAACTCGAACCTTCAGCTCCCTCCACAGATTTTCTATGGGATTAAGGTCTGGAGACTGGCTAGGCCACTCCAGGACCTTAATGTGCTTCTTCTTGAGCCACTCCATTGTTGCCTTGGCCGTGTGTTTTTGGTCATTGTCATGCTGGAATACCCATCCACGACCCATTTTCAATGCCCTGGCTGAGGGAAGGAGGTTCCCACCCAAGATTTGACGGTACATGGCCCCGTCCATCGTCCCTTTGATGCGGTGAAGTTGTCCTGTCCCCTTAGCAGAAAAACACCCCCAAAGCATAATGTTTCCACCTCCATGTTTGACGGTGGGGATGGTGTTCTTGGGGTCATAGGCAGCATTTCTCCTCCTCCAAACACGGCAAGTTGAGTTGATGCCAAAGAGCTCGATTTTGGTCTCATCTGACCACAACACTTTCACCCAGTTCTCCTCTGAATCATTCAGATGTTCATTGGCAAACTTCAGATGGCCCTGTATATATGTGCTTTCTTGAGCAGGGGGACCTCGCGGGCGCTGCAATTGTTTTCTTGGTGACTATGGTCCCAGCTGCCATGAGATCATTGACAAGATCCTCCCGTGTAGTTCTGTGCTGATTCCTCACTGTTCTCATGATCATTGCAACTCCACGAGGTGAGATCTTGCATGGAGCCCCAAGCCGAGGGAGATTGACAGTTCTTTTGTGTTTCTTCCATTTGCGAATAATCGCACCAACTGTTATCACCTTCTCACCAAGCTGCTTGGCGATGGTCTTGTAGCCCATTCCAGCCTTGTGTAGGTCTACGATCTTGTCCCTGACATCCTTGGAGAGCTCTTTGGTCTTGGCCATGGTGGAGAGTTTGGAATCTGATTGATTGATTGCTTCTGTGGACAGGTGTCTTTTATACAGGTAACAAGCTGAGATTAGGAGCACTCCCTTTAAGAATGTGCTCCTAATCTCAGCTCGTTACCTGTATAGAAGACACCTGGGAGCCAGAAATCTTTCTGATTGAGAGGGGGTCAAATACTTATTTCCCTTATTAAAATGCAAATCAATTTATAACATTTTTGACATGCGTTTTTCTGGATTTTGTTGTTGTTATTCTGTCTCTCACTGTTCAAATAAACCTACCATTAAAATTATAGACTGATCATTTCTTTCATCAGTGGGCAAACGTAAAAAATCAGCAGGGGATCAAATACTTTTTTCCCTCACTGTATTTGAGTGCTTTTGAACGGGGTATGGTAGTAGGTGCCAGGCGCACCGGTTTGTGTCAAGAACTGCAACGCTGCTGGGTTTTTCACGCTCAACAGTTTCCCGTGTGTATCAAGAATAGTCAACCACCCAAGGATATCCAGCCAACTTGTGGAACGCTTTCGACACCTTGTAGAGTCCATGCCCCGATGAATTGAGGCTGTTCTGAGGGAAAAGGGGGGAAGCAACTCAATATTTGGAAGGTGTCCTTAATGTTTTGGACACTCAGTGACTGCCAGATAATGTTCATATATCATGACTATAAATGACATCAAGAAGTTTGTATGTATCTTCCGTTTGGCATGTCTCTTGATGTAATGACATGACAACTGCATCAGAGTTTTGGGCAACCCTTCCCCGCTTTTGTTCCATGCTGGCTAAAGACTTAGCTAGCCAGTTATTAGCTAACACCAGACACAGATGAAAGTGGAAACCTATGTGACCTCACCGCCTCGATTTGGTCTTCTGTAGCAACATTTTTAATGGTGTTGTTTACATTGATAAAAGTAAAGACTCAGAGCTACAAAATGGTATATCATACACTGCAGTTAAGGACCAATGGGAAAGTAATTCTGCTTTGAAAGTTGATGAACTTGTAACCCCACTTTTGAGAAAATGGCCCTTGAATGTTTTGGTACACGTACTGAAGAGCTCTTCTTTGTCTACACCTATTCAGCATCGTTCACATCCTCTTAAGCCTTAGCACCACCCATCTCTTTAAGGATTTGCTTGTGAGATCATGTGCTAAACAGAATGAGTAAGGTAGTGTAGTAAACAACCAAAGATTTAAAGACTAAAAGTGGTGAAAGTAGTAGCCTACAATAAGGAAAAACTCTAGGTAAAAATACACTATCTAGTTCTTGTCCTATATCCTAATCTGACTTTGGTGCAGGTCATGTTGTCCTTCACATTACCGTCTCTGGTAAACACAAACTATATCAAATAAAATCAAAGTTTATATGTCACATGCACAGGATACAGGTGTAAACGGTACAGTGAAATGGTTACTTGCATATTTGCATGGTAGCAATATCAAAAACAGAAAGTGTTCAGATAAAAATATGTTATAATTATTAGAAGATGCTTACCCAGACACATTTGTCTAAATTGATGGGTCATGTGAAATGCCTCTCCTGTGCAGTAGTGAAGTGCGACATACACCTAGCTTCTTGAAACGGGTCACCTGTAAGTATTTTGCCTCAGATGAATAGGGGAAACCTGTAATTATATTTGCTGACACGCTGCAGTCAAATTTTGGCACCAGTAGAATCGCTACCTAGCTATGTAAACCATGCCCCTCTGCAAACACACATTCTGCCATGTTGGTTACTAGGCGGTACCTGGGGCGGCAGGTAGCTTAGTGGTTAAGAGCGTTGTACCAGTAACCGAAAGGTCGCTGGTTCTAATCCCCGAGCCGACTAGGTGAAAAATCTGTTGATGTGCCCTTGAGCAAGGCACTTAACCCTAATTGCTCCTGTAAGTCGCTCTGGATAAGAGCGTCTGCTAAATGACCAATTTATTTATAGGTACGAGAATAAGACTTTACCATTGGTGTCTTAAAATGAGAGATTTTGTGATGCCACAAAATCCCCTTAATAATCCCGCGTCCTGAATCAAGGTGTTTGACATGGGGGAGGGGACCAGTAACTTTATGGTCCAACTTTAGTTGAGTAATCAACTTTATCAATGTAGAAGCAACAGTAATATTTTATACTGTGGTCATCCTACTTTGATGTGGTTTCATCCAAATATCATCCAATTTAATGAAAAACATGATTTTGACTGTGCATGACCTTTAAATATTCTCTTTCCCATTGACTTCTACACCGGTGTTTTACTATCAGTTTTAAAGCATAATCTGTTTAATTCTGCCTTAGAGTAAATGTTTTGTTGTTGTTTACCCTTATGAATTTGACCCTGATCACCATTTAGCTAGCGTTGTTCTCCAGAGTGCGACGTTGTGATGTAGATGGGAAACGATGAGGAAGAGTTAGCATGTAGAACCTAATCAGCTTGGAGCCCTTTGGTGAGGCAGTGTTAGCAGGCTCCTGGACTACATCCCAAATGGCATCCTATTCCCTATATAGTTCACTACCTATAGGGCTCTGGTCAAATGTAGTGCACTAAATAGGGAATAAAGTGTCATTTGGGAGCAGGCATGTAGCACACCTCTAGGCGGTAACACTAATAACCCCAGCCATCAAGCACTCATCCTGACCTAGGCTACACACTGGATGGCATAGGGAGAGAGAGGCAGTGGAGAGGAGAATACAGGGGACAAACCTAAAGGTTGGGGTTATGGCATTAGCACTTCTTTAGTAAGAAGAACATGGTGATCAATCATGGGTTGAGTTATTCTGGTTAGTAGTTACATTGTAAGTTGGTATTCAGTTGTTCTGCCTCAGGTCTAGTCTATGGCCTGGGCCCCTATTTATCATGCATCTTAGAGTAGGAGTACTGATATATGATCAGTTTCATAATGAATCCTATTCCATATTATGGAAAGGAGGGAACTGATCCTAGATCAGCACTCCTACTCTGAGACACAGGTCCTGGAGTCGTTTTAGACCTGAGTTTGCTGTTTTGAAAGCCTCACTTTGTTTACTGAGCGAGCTCATGCCCTCAGCTTGTGTGTCACGCTCACATGTAAACTGCTAATTTATTTGCCCAGGAATTTGCATTGCTTGCACATGATTCGGGTTATTTGCTCAGGTTAAAAAAAGCTAGTTGACTTGACTCATATTTTCCAGTCTGCTCCCATATAAGGAGACAAGCTCTTTATTCCCAAGTGAAAAATATGAACATGTTTTTATTGTTAAACTTTGTAGCTGTGAGATCCCATTCATACTGATTGCACTAGTATTCTTTCCCTGGCTCAACGCTCTACTCTCTCTCTTCCTCTGTTGTCATGTTTTACTATGTTGTTATTGTTGTTGTTGATGAGGACAATGATGACGACAACTTCATAGGACTATGTGCCTTATCTTTGTAAATACCCATGCATTTCAGTAATATATTTGACCGCCATGTGGGATCAATAAAGCAAAATAAAATAATGTTTCTCCTCCTCCAGTGCTCAGTGACTAGTCAGGGTATCAGTCCCTGCTCCAGTCTGACCAGTAGCACGACGTCCCCCTGCACAGAGAGCCCGTGCTCCACCCTGAACAGCAACGCCAGCCACAGCCTCAGCCTCAGCCACAGCAGCAGTGGTCACGGCAAAACTCCTCTGAGTCACTCCAGCCCCTGTGGAACCATCACCAGCCCCAGCTCCACGCTCGAGAGCAAGGACAGCGGGATTATAGGTGAGAGACACTCGGGTTGCGTCTCGATTGGCACCATATTCCCTATGTAATGCACTACTTTTGACCGAGGCCCTTCTGGTCAAAGGTTGTGCACTATAGGGAATAGGGTGGCATTAGGGACACAGCCTCACTCACCCATCCACTCAATCAGTCACTCAGTCCCCAGCACTCAGCCTTTCCTCAGCACATACTATTCACATTCTGCACAGTGCCCACAGCAATAGACCTATAATGTCCTCCATGCCTCTTGTGTCTCATGAGACTAGCATCATCAACAATCTCAACAGGGTCTGCATTACAATCTATCATTATTCATATGGACTTTATACTTTAGAACATTCATCTTCTCCAAAATCTTTGAGCGTTTTACTGTTCTATTGCCTGACAACTCATCCTGAACCCATCGGTTTCTGGGACCAATCAGAACGGTCAGAATATGTTTGCATTCTACAAGAGGGAGGAAGGCAAATCCAGACTCATCGTGGAGAAGAAAGCGGTGTTGCATTGAGCTGTTAGTGGTGTGTACAGTATTAAAGAGTAGTGGTGGTTAACAGCTCCAACAGCATGTGGCTGTTCAGTTCCTCTACTAACAGGGGCTTTAGGAGATTTGGGGATTTAAACGTGCTGACAGGAAGATGGGTTATTACTGCATTCAACTCCTTTGTGGTTTCTGCTTAAAGGTTCCAGGGACAGTCAAACCTACTAGAAATCCATTCGGAATTCTGAATTGTAGCGTTTTTATTGCCCAAAGATGTTAGTCATGAAACATTGTTCGTTTTTCAGTAAGTCTTTTTTTGTCTGGTTAATGACAAGGCTCCAGTTGATTTGGACCAAAATAGAACAAAGCAGTTAACCTCACTAGGACATCACAATTCTATCCCCTATTGTACATTCACCCAAGTAGCCAAATTTGGCCTATATGAAAATAAAATGAAGGAAAAAGACCTGTTGCAATAGCCTCTGCTGAAATCGTGAGCTGTTTCACCAGTGTTTCAACCTTTTTGTACCATTTTGTGGCCAAGACAGACTTGGTTGGTTGGCAGTAATACTTTGCATCTCCCGAATGCAAATCCTGTGCTGCTGTTGACATAATTGATAACTGTGACTCATATTCCTCCTAGCCCCCCCCTAAATAATTCATGCTGGCTGTGAAATTGTATCTGCCATAGTAAAGCAGCGTGAATAGCGCTGTGCCGTGCCTAGCTACTGCCCAGGCTGAGACCGAGAGATGTGGCCTAAGCGTCTCAGAGTAGAAGTGCTGATCTAGGATCAGGTCCATGTAAGCTTATTTATTGTGATCTTCAAGGCAAAACTGATCCTAGATCAGCGTTCCTACTCTGAGACGCTTGATACATATGGGCCAGCCAACTTCAGATCACTAGGACCTACTTCTTCTTCGGTGGAATCAGTACTGTAGAACTCTATGCCTTTAGCCAAGTCTAGCGGCCTCATGGTTTCTCCTTCGAACACTCAGAATTCTGTTTGTTGGCGGAGGACAAGCTATAACATTGGTCCTGAACTTCCCCCTAGTGAGTTGGGCTTCTTGGGTTATTTAAAAGGCAGAGAGAGAAGCCAAGTAGGTTGCGTTCCAAATGGCACCCTATTCCATAGGGCTCTGGTCAAAAATAGTGCACAATGTTGGGAATAGGGTGCCATTTGGGACGCATACATTGTGTCCATGAGACTGATTTCCAGCTCTGATGAATAGTAGTCAGGGCCTTTGAAGTGGTTGAAACGGACTGTGGAAGAAGCAGGATAATAGAACGCAAGGAATCATTTACTTCAAAAGCCCATATTCATTTGGCTGGTTTTTAAACAGCACGTTGGGTGGGATGGTATGGGGCCTACTGCAGAGTGTGTGTTGACATATGAAAACCTGCAGCTGCTGTTGTGGGGTGGGGCCGAGGGAGGGAGGGCATCGCAAGGAGGGGACTTAAGAAGGTCATAGGAATGGTCATAAGCATTTATTCATGTTGTAAATAATGATCATGACCAGTTATTCATGTTGTAAATAATGGTGATAACCAGTTATTCATGTTTTATACACCGGGTGGGTCTAATCCTGAATGCTGATTGGTTAAATCCGCATTCCAGCCGGTGTCTATTCCATAAGTTACCACTGGCTAAATCTATGACGTTAAAATGCCTATTTACTCTGTTCCACCTGACTGGGTAATCCACTGTCTCATCAGCCCAGCCAGGCAATTTATAAACTTGATCTACACTATAAAAAGCATCTAGACATTATCTCACATTTCTTTTAGACTAACATTTAGTTTTCAACAGCGTAGATTTGTATAAACCTTGCTGTCTGTCTCTCTGACATCTGCAACATTGTATCAATATTCAAGTTTGATCTCCAGCTGTCCCATAGTAATGAACGTGTCGAGAGTCGGAATGAGACAGACAGGCAGCCTGCGTTTCTCAGCCAGTCGAAATCATGATTCAGCATAATTTTTATGGATATATATAAAGAACTGTCAATAGAAAACAGGTGAAACGAAACAAAGTGCAGCTAGTTTGTGATTGTGTTAGCTGTGATGTTGGCTAGCTCCTCTGAACAACAGTGTCCTGACGAGAGAGCACATTTTCTATGCCAGGCGAAATCTCGCCTCATTAGCTCATTGTTATGGATGTATCCAAATAAATGTCACTAGAAAACAGCTTAAACAAATGCAAATGCAGCTACTTTGTTGATATTCTGGCTGCACTGTTTGACGTGACTGTATGTTAGCTGTAGTTGGCTAGCTAGCAAGCAAAGGATAAGAATGTTGCCAGCCAGTATGGCAATGGAACATTTAGAACGAACGACTGGGTCGCGTCCCTAGATACAGAACAAAAAGATTGAACGACTAGGTCGCGTCTCTGGCAACCGAACCGATAGAACGAACGACCAGCCGGCTTGGGTAGCAACCCTAGATTTTTGTCGGGACTATATCTTGTGGAAGGATGAAATAGTATAAATAAATTAATCAAAATAGCATTTTTAATGAAAATATGTCAACCATTATTTGAATATGTTGGTAACCCGTTGTATAAAAGTGATAATGACCTCAAATCCAGTGTTTGGAGGATATATTGGCACCTCGACTTCGTCTCGGGCCTAACAACACCCGTGCCAATATATCCTCCAAACACCGGCTTCGAGGGCATTTTCACTTAAGTAAATAATGGTGATAACCAGTTATTGATGTGTAAATAATGGCGATAACCAGTTATTAATGTTGTAAATAATGGTGATAACCAGTTATTCATGTTCTAAAGCAGAGTGAGGAGATGGTAAAGCTAGTGTAAGATAATAGGCTGTTTTACCTTTTAATTCAGACCACTTTGGTCTATCTTTGTGAGTCAAATAACTGATGCTTATAAGCATGTATCAAATGTTACAACATTTAGGGATTTCTGAATTGCTGAATATTTGCACAAGCATCGGGCTAGTTATCCCAGACGTATGTGTTATGTGAATATTAGCGATGATGCAACACACGGCACCGTTATGAAATCCAGATTAGCTGTGTGGTACAGTGGGTTTACTCTAAAGCTGCCAAAAACAGACGCAGTCGCATTTCCTCTGACTGCAAATGTGTGCATCCCAAATGACACCCTATTCCCTATATAGTGCACTACTTTTAACCGTCAAAAGTAGTGCACTATATAGGGGATAGGGTGCAATTTGGGACGCGTTCCCATGTTTTGGAGCCCAGCTGCTAGTCGGTGACTTTTGCCTTTCCCCTCAGCTTTTAGTGATTGTGTTTAGCATGGCCAGCCAGGCCTGAGGAGAGGATTAAAAGGGGATTTGCTTTCATGGAAGCAAACACCTGTCTAAACTCTTCAAATGGAAATTGGTTGTTCTCCACACCAGCCCCCTTTTTCTCCCTCCTAAATCTTGTGTTCTTGTGATCTCTTCATATAAGAGGATCTGATGTAGCTATAGGGTTGGCTGGGAATTCTTTCTTAGAATTCTCAGTTCTTCCAGAAATCTTGATTGGAGGATTCCCTGCTTATTCCCTCCTGATTCCGGGAACCTTCCATCCTGAATTTCTGCAAAATGTGGGAATTTTGGGAAAGTTACCAGAATTTTGCAACCCTACTACAGTATCAACCTCAGCTTGATCACACCATGTTCTATTAGATGGATGACAGTACTGTTTAGAGGCAAACATATTTGATGTACAGTGTACACTATTATTGGACATTCTAAGCTACTCCATTCAAGATACCTTTGATAGGGGAAAATAATGGTGGTTAATACAAAGACTAAAAAGCTATTGAGGAAATGAATGCCATAAATCTACCCCCCCATGCCAGCGCTGGATAATTCTCATTAGTTGGAACTAAATTTAGTGGTAAATATCAGATCAGGTGGAGGGTGTTGATAAGGTCAATGAAAAAAGAGTGGGAGCGCTAAAGACTCAACTTCTCCATTATAGGCCAATGTCGTTTCACTCCATATCAAGGTGCAGGGAATTCCTGATAATGATAATGACGTACTGCACCGATTTTATTCTCTCTCTCTCTCTCTCTCTCTCTCTCTCTCTCTCTCTCTCTCTCTCTCTCTCTCTCTCAGCCACCATCACAAGCTCCTCGGAGAATGACGACCGCAGCGGCTCCAGCCTGGAATGGAGTAAAGATGGCAGCCTGAGGAGCAGCGGGCACCATGGCCTGGCGCCCAGCGTGCGGGCCGATACATGCTCTCCCGTGGCGGAGGAAGACCCCAGTGGGCCCCCAGAGACCCCCACCCCATCCAGGACAGAGCACCCCACGGGCTCCTCAGCAGGGGCTGCAGGAGGAGCAGCAGTAGGACCAAGCCGCCCACCAGAGGGCCCCGTTCCATACCCCACAGCACACACCTCCTTGTCCCTCATGATGCCGCGGCCTAACTCTGTTGCAGGTAAGAAACCTTGGCTTTGGGTGATTCATGATGCGGAGAAGGGATATTATCAGGACTTGTATACTGCTTTGAGTTCACTGGACTTGTATACCGGTTTGAGTTATCTGGACTATCTACTGGTTAGAGGTTTTTAGACTTTTACATTGTTTTGAGTTATCTGGACAAACTTGTATACTGGTTTGAGTTGGTATCGGGTCATCAAAGGAAGTGCTCCTTGATCCATGCTCAGTGAATCCCCCTTCAAATGTGACTCAGTTCATCTTGACTTTGTGTCTGCATTATCTCCTTAGGAAGATCTCTTGACCTGGAAAGGAGGGTGTTAGTCTGTGACCCTTTAGGACCCAACAGTGTCTGTACTTCACAGAACGTCCTGACTCAGGTCCTCAGTAAGCCACGGTGCCCTGTGTGACTGTGGAGCTGACTGAAACACAACTCTGTCCTTTTCCCAGCTGACCAAGTGAGAGGGAAATGGAGAGAAGAAAACTGGGGGTGGACAAGTCTTTGATGTGCCAATTCAGCAGACAGAGAGAGGGAAGGAGTGAGTGAGTGAGAGGAAAAGAGAGCGAGAGAGAATTTTACTGTGTGTTCTACAGCTAGCTGTTTGTACACAAACATGCATACACAGTGGATTTCACACACTGTTTGCTCTTAGTGCACAAAACATTAATCTTTACTGCATGCTGATAAATCTATAACCTTGCCATATAAAGAGTATAGAAGTGCATACAGGGCATTGGTGTGGATCATTTACTAAGGCCTCTTGCAGTTAACCACCTAATTATTCCAATAACTCATAACCTGTTTTAACATCTCCTGTTGTTTTGGTCCGATGCAGCTTAAACAGCATGGACACACACACACACACACACGGACAAACACACACTCACGGACATCCACTGCCTCGTAAAGCTAACAGCCCAGGAGCCATCGGCCCCTTCTTTCCTCTAGGACTAGGAGTTTGTTATTCAGTGTTGCCCCTGAGGAGTGCGTTGGATTCACACCTCTGATTTTATGGTTGGTTACGTTGCCCTGGGAGCAGACAGCAATGACATGGAAGGACAAGCTCATTTATGGTCCAAATGAACCTGCTCTGTCACCAGGGGCCAGAGAATATGAGTGGGGCTTGAGTTACTTCCCAAATGGCACCCTAGGCCTTTCGTAGTGCACTACTTTTGACCAGTGCTCTGGTAAAAAGTAGTGCACTATATAAGGAATAGGGTGCTATTTGGGACAATTATTTTCCACTTGCTCTTTTATGAGAGGGCTATAGTAGGTTAAATGTGATGTCTTAATAGGTTAATACATTGTGTGTGCATCAATGAATGCTTGATAGAGAGAGACTATAGGAGTGAGAAGAAGTGAGATCACTGATTTACTTATTTTCCGCCAGTGGGGGAAGATTGAACGTCATCTTGTGCTTTTGTAATCACGAGGAAGTTGGATGAAGCCATTATCTTTGTTTGAGTCCCAAATGGCACCCTATTCCCTATATTGTGCACTACCTTTGACCATGACCCATAGGGCTCTGGTCAAAGTAGTATAGTGTAAAGGGATAGGGTGGCCTTATCTGTAGCTTTATACCACACATTCCATATGGAGAGCATGACAACATCCCACAGTCATCCAGAGCTAGACAGCCAGTGCCTGCAGGATTGTCCAGTGATTGCCCCTCTCCTGTCCCTGTCACACACCAGTCTGTCACAGCAAAGACATCTGGCCATAATCTGTAGGACACTCTGATAGAGAGGGACTGACTGATAGCGAGTGATAGGGGGGAGAGAGAGAAAGAGAGACAGTGGGCAGACTGAGAGAGAGCGAGAGAGAGAGGTGTCATGTGATGCAAGTCCGTGTCGTAGAGGAGAGGAGTCGTAATGAAATCCCCATTGTCTGATTGATGCCAAAGTGCTGAAAGTCAAGCTGTCATTGATTGGAGCGCCTTAACTAGGGCTGTGATGGTCATGGAATTATGGATTATGGTTATTGGTCAGCCAAATGACCGCAGTCACATTTTCTCCTCTTCTCCGCTCCTGACTGCATGTGCTGCTGCAGGGAGGGGGGCATTGATCTGCCAGGAGAGCGAGAGAGGGATTTGAGGCGAAATGTTTGAATACTACATCCTGTGACTTGTTGCCGGGCAGACTAGAGTCTAATGAGAGTCCAGAGGATGGCGTTGCCTATGCAACCAAATACTTGTTTGCTACAACACCTTGCTTGTTTCAGCAAGGAGCAACAACGTTTTATCACGTCGTAGAGTCCATGTTATAGCGGAAACCGACTCAACCACACGAATGCCGGCCGCCATCCCGTCTTCAGTCAGCTGTTTGTTCCACACAAACGGTTATGCGGTAATTATAAACTGGGTGGCTTGAGCCCTGAATGCTGATTGGATGAAAGTCGTGGTATATCACGGGTATGACAAAACCGTTATTTTTACTCTTCTAATTACGTTGGTAACCAGTTTATAATAGCAATAAGGCACCTCGGGGGGTTGTGGTATATGGCCAATATACCACGCCTAAGAGCTGTATCCAGGCACTCCAGGTTGGGTTGTGCGTAAGAACAACCCTTAGCCGTGGTATATTGGCCATATACCACACCCTCTGTGGCCTTATTGCTTAATTGTACAAGCCCTAGGCTTAACACGCTGTGAGGCAGAGTTCCTGCCAGGACTTCAGGAGTTAGAGTTGGACTAGCTGCTGTCTCTCTGCTGCTCTGCTGACCTGCTCGCTCAAAGTTGAACTATTATGGACTGGACAGACACCATATAGAACGTCAGCCATGCACAGTAGCTCACCTGCTAGGTGTCTACAAGCGGTGGCGGTTCAGCATGTAGAATCGTCAGGAAATGAACCGAAAATGAAGGCTAATGTTCTGTGGTCAAAGGGGATAGGACCACTGTTTTTATCCGTTCTTCGGCACGGTCTGTTTTGTCCTTTAGACTTATTTCTGTCTGCACATACAAGAGTGTTTGTCCCCTTCTCAGGTCGTTGGACGTTTTTAGCCTGAGAGCAAAGGGTCCATTTCTCTGGGGGTGAATTAGTGTAGTCTGTCTAATGTCCCACAGCACTGCTAAAATGTGAGATATGCGCAGGGAATGTTTCCGTGTTGCTCAGAAATATAATTTGCAGTGTGTGTGATTACAGCGGACACCGTGACTGGCCTGGTACAATCAAGCTGCTGCTGTGGGAAATCCAAGCAGCACTGTCTGCACATTAAGCTGTGGCTAACTGGCTAGGTCCAGATCCACAGCAATACACTACCTGTCTGAGTGAGAAGACAGAAACCTGAATCCTACTCATTAAACCAAACCACCAAATGTCTTAGCTCAGAAAATCAACAAGCGGTTTGCCGTTTTCTCAGGGCATAGCAGGACTCAGTTGATCAACCCACCATGAGCGCACAAATATGCTTCATTCAAATTAAAACACAGACAAACTCGCAACATAACACTGACAATATGATCATTATTTTTGCACAATCCCCCTGGCTGCAGCTTGTCTTGTCTAGTCAGACCCTGCTGGAAGACTTTAAAGGGGATATTTCCTCTTTTTGCACAGTCTGTGTTTTTGATTGACTCTCGTGGCTTGTAAGCCCCTCCTAAATCTGTTGGAATAAATCCCTAATTGTATTGTCTCACAGCAGGACATGTCTGTAAAGCGGCTTTTTGCTCCATCCATGTATATGTATCTCAGTCACAATGCCTCCACTGGAATGTGGCATTTGTTTGCGTCTCAAATGGCACCCTATTCCCTGTATAGTGCACTAATTTTGACGAGGGCCCATAGGGTGCCATTTGGGACGCACACTTTGAATTATTAAGGCAGTCAGACTGGCAAGAAGCCACACAACTGCTCCGGGCATCATCACATTTTTATTCATTTAAAAACCACACAATATAAATGAGATGCGACGGAGAATGAGACTGTGGGTTTAATTACAAATGACTGTAACATTGGAAGCCTAATCATAACTTAGTGATGTCACACTCACACACAGCCCCTAATCTGACAGTTGTCACACTCCCCCTGCCTCTCTTTGCTATGGCTGGGAAATTAACCCCTACCATTGGAGGATTTCAACTACAGCAACAGTTCCAGCTGCACAGAGTTTGGTGACACAGCGCCTGCATGCGTTCCAAATGGCACCCTATTCCCTATATAGTACACTACTTTTGATGCACAGTCGCACACACTCTGTGCCAGAACGTCTTAGGGAGTGACGGGTCGGAATGTTGTTTTGCTTCCTTTCACATCAGACACCACAGCACAACTCACACTACTAGAGACATAATAACTCTACAGAGTTACTATTTGGTAATGCGTTGCTACTGCTAAATGCCAGCTTCACCTCAATAAGGCTCTGCTTCAAAGTGTGCACTATATAAGAAATAGGGTGCCATGTAAGACACAGACAGTGGCTCCAGGATAAGCTTCTGAAAACATCTCAGAGATGACTCTCTCCTAGCCCAAACCACACCCCATCACAGGTGCTACCGGCTTCAAAAAGGATTGCCTTTGACACGGGCTCTGTAACGGAAACTAAATATGTAAATGTTATTATAATACTGCATGTAAAGTGGTGGCTTCAGAGAGCAGAATTCTAAATGAGAACTGAGAGGACAAGGAAGGTAGCTGAAATAGATATTCTTAGTTACTACCCCTCTGATGTGTGGGGGTACAGAGTAGAAGGAGAGGGGTCTGTCTTGGCTGTATTGTAAGCTCTTCAGATTTGGCTGAAATCCAATTTGACACCATGCCACCTTCATCCAGTGCAGATTCAGTGCTTTTCGGGAAAATAATTCAGCTCAAAGCCTTCTGTATTATTTGTTACACTCAAATAATAATAATTATATTTCAAGTCATCAGAGTTAAGCCATTTAGCGTGGCTTAGGGAATCAAAGGCTACATTAAGACTGGCCACAGGAATCCCATGGTCCTAAGACCTCCTGTTGAACCGCTGGTGGAGATTTCTCCAGACAGTAAAACGGCATTAGGGTGGTTAGCTGTGGAATGGTTCGGCCATAGCACGTAGCCAAGGGGCACTTCACTCAACCTTGGAACATGTTGATTGGTGCATTGCCTAGACATGCATTAGTACTATTGTGGTTCACAATCGTGTGCCGGGTGCCCAGTCTGCATAGGTAGTCTTTGTCACTGCCCTGCTGCCCTACTCAGCATTCCTTTGTGTTACGGTGTCTTGTTGTGTCTAGGTGATTGTTCCTTTGTGGCTGGCAGAAGTCCGCTGCCCAGCTGCCCTGCCCCCCAGAGCAGAAGTAGACATCATTGACAGACATTGTTCCATCTCCTGGATACTATGGATCCCTCTTCATAGGAGAATACTTTTTGATTACTGGAGCACATAGTGACTGCAGCACACAGCTGTGTCCCGTCTCTTGGACTGATGTCATCTCCACGAGTCCCAG